CCGGCGCCGAGGAGACGGCGGGGCTGGTGGCGTTGCTCGGGCGGGCGACTGGGTCTTGGGGCTCCTCCGGCGTTTTGGGGTTTCTCCTTTCGGTACTCGGTAGTTTCCTTCGCTTCGGGCGGTGGCGTGGCCGTGGTGAGTAGAGAAAGGCCTGGCCCAGCTCAGCTCAGCCTCGTGGGCTTCTGTTCTGCGTAAAAACTGCAGGGCAGTGGGGAAGGGCTCGCTGCGGGATCAGGGCGGGCTGGGCTGAAGTGTCTGGGGCTGAGGGGCCGGTTAGCTGTGAAGAAGGCCGTCCGTCCTTCCTCCTCCTCCTCCTTCGTGGGCTCTGCGGGGGGTGAAGGAGAAGGTTTCTCTCCCTTACAGGTACGGGTGGCGTCCTCAGCACGAGCAGCGTGGTTGGCGCTCCAAGCCGACGCGGTAGGTTGCGGTCGCAGCCCCACGCATACAGATTGCTTCTGTGGACCTTCTGTCTCTGCAGCTTGGCAGCATTTGCCGTTGCAGGGTGCATGAAGGCCGACTAAACCCTGGCCTTCCCTGCAAAATACATAGCTATAGGCCATTGCTGTGGTAATATTTTGCTGCATGAGCAGCACCAACTCAAGTTACTCAGCTGCATCTTCCTTAATTGAGCTCTCTTTTAGAAGATGCTGCTGTTTTCAGGTGCTAATGGACAACTGTTTATATTTTGCTATAATCTGTTGACACAATATCACTGTAACACGTGGATTAAGATGCCACTGTGGTTATGGCAGAGCAAAACTTTACTTGAAAGCTGTATAGTTTAATGAATTAATCTCCAGTTCTCTCAAATGGAGTAGTATATTGGGGAGTTTATCAAGGAGGTTTGTCAAGTGCTGATCAAACTCTTAAAGGATGAACTGTTTTCAAGACCCTAGTTTTTCCCAGTTGAATTTATACTGAAACAAACTGTGAAGATCAGGGAAATAATCCTTACTGTAATTTTAAGCAAAAACATCTGAGAGTCATGCTCATACAAAAGCATTATGAATGCTATTTACTGGCATAAGGGGTATGAATTCTTGTCTTCCATGTTGGGCAGAACAGCAACACAGAAAACATCAATCTCAGAAAAACTACAAGGAGATATTCACATGCTAGTCTAGACTTGCATCGGGCAGAAAAAAGGTTTACTATCTCTCTGGTCGTTAAGTAACAACCTTAAAATTTATGGTTGCAACTGTATTTTCATGTTAGGATAGGATTACTTAAAGCTTGGTAGAATGTGGACTATATGTAAGTATTGTGCCTGATGCTGTGAAGGAATGCTTGCCTCCAAATAAGTCTGAATGATCAAAACCATTATGGGGCATGAAGAAGTGTTTGAAGCATACCACTGAGTTACCAGACTCTCAATCGGTTTGGTAATCATACAAACCTAAGTTAGGATTTTGAGGGTGGAATCTCTTTTCTCTGGCCCTTTGTTGTTTTGTTAATTTTTGGTTTGTATGTTTGGGGTTTTTTTAATTCCTGTTACTTTTCTACCTAGTCTGTTCCCAGGATTCCTAATCCCTTAGATCAACGAAAAGGTAGATTAAGTTAGCCAGTGTTGTATCAGAGGGGAAATAATATAATGTCTTATCTTGTTTATGATAGCATTGTTGTTACATGAAAGGTACATAAGAAAGTATTTATTTTTATGTTTCTAGCAAGGAAATTCTTACCATTGCCAGGAAAGAAAATATTCATTGGGCTTTAATGTTTAAAATCCTGTTTAATAGACAATTTTGTGCCATCTCCATCTTTGGAGGTTTCTATAGCAGATTGGTAAAGCTCTGAGAAAGCTGCTGTTGTTACTTTGCTTTTGAGAAGTTGAACTAGGTGACTTTCTGAAGTATCTTCCAGCATGAGTTATCCAATACAGGTGGAATTTGTTTGTATTTACTTTGAAGGAAGTTTTTAATCTTCTGTTAGCTGTAGTCTGAGATATTGCAATGATTGTGTATGCCTTGAAAATCTAATTAAAAAAAACCCTGGCGTGCATGTTGTGTTTTTTGTTTAGATCATGGATTCACAGAAGGATGTTCAGCCTCCAAAGCAGCAGCCAATGATTTACATTTGTGGAGGTAAAGAAAAAACATCAGTGAATTTTTTTTACTTGTTACTGGAAATTTGGTGTTTTAATAATGAAGAATGCATAAGCATTGTACTAAAGAGTACATAAATGCAAATAGTTGCAGTGTGGATCTTGATGTTCTTTAAGGCTTTTCACACCAAGGGTACCACATATATGGGGTATATATAGATAGCAATGTGGAAGTAATTCACTAGAGCTTGTGTTGCTCTGTGAAGGTCCTCCATCTCTAGAGGATGCTCTGTCTAAATGTCTGTTTGTAGTGCAGATAGGTGGGCCTTTTATCTAATGCATCTCAGAGGTTTTTTTGAAAATGTATGGTCACTCAGCTTTTATTGAAGTGCAATAGTCAAGTTCTCTCTTACCTATAACAACTTAAAAATTGGTGATTTTGAGTTATTACTTCAGGAATCTGAAATATTATGTCTGTTAAAAAAAACTTGGGGCATTTTGGGGCTGAGATGAAGTTTTCATTAGTAGACAGTTGTATTAAGAGTGGAATGTATTATGTGCAGTGATAATGTAATGATTTTTAGCAAGATCCTCTTTGATCTTAATATAAGTGAAGTTTGCTAACTTTTTCTTCACACAGTATCTTGATACTCAACTCTTGATACAAATTCACTATGATTATTTTTTATGTTTGTCACAAGTAGAAATGTGACTATTATGACTTTTAAAAGTTATATATGCATTAAGAATGTTGGTTTTATTTACCCACTCCCTTTATTTTCCTCCATCACATCAGAATGTCATACAGAAAATGAAATAAAGGCAAGAGACCCTATCAGATGCAGAGAGTGTGGCTACAGAATAATGTACAAGAAAAGGACAAAAAGATGTATCCTTTTACATGTGCACTTGAATGCATTTGGGAAGCTCTGGATAGAGACAAGGTATATAAGGGAAACAGAGTGGAAGATTTGAGTAAGAATATTTCAAGGCCAAAAATGAATACAGTAGAGCAAAGTACTATAGGGAAATCTCTGCAATGTGATTGGGCAACTTGTTTTCTTTCCTGGCACTTTCTCTTTTTCCATTTTCTATGCAAAATACAATAAACTGTGGTAGTCTGCTGGGTGATGTACTGTGAATTGTTGATATTGCTCATCCTTTTAAGAAAAGGAAAGTGTCGTGAGGTTAATTAAAGATGAATTTTAAAATATTTTTATGTAGTTAGTTGTGACTTTTAGACAGTCTCTTTTCCCTAGCCCAATCTTTTTTTCAACCACAACACATTTTTTTCCTTTAACTGAAGTATTCCAGTGGTGGTTTTTGATGCTCGGTGATGTCTGCTGAAGATATAGTGACTTCATGATGCAGTTTAATATTTCTGATAACTCTGCTCTGTAAATGTTTGTGTACAAATGCACACTCTTATTTGTCTTTTAAGAGATTGAAATATTAAAGTTTATTGTGATACTAAATTTTGTCTATATTGTTTTCCAGCAATAGATTTCTAAAGCAGTTGTTTAAATTGTAGACAGAGTATGCTTTAGTTTTTTTTAAGTTCAGTGGTATTGTATTCTTTTTGAGTTACCCTTGTTTTCATTACTCTCGTCTAAATTTTATTTGCATTTTAACCTCGTTACATATTCTTTGAACTCCTATGAACTGCATAAAACAACCGTGTTTTGAGTAAATTCCACTGAAAATAAATCAAAGGCTACACAAGGCTAGGTCTGAAACACAGGTCTGGATTTCAAAAGAGCACATCTCAGAGGACTTGAGAACACCCAATTCAGGCACCCAGTTGTGGATGAAGTGTCAGGAAAAATAATCTCTCATAAGAGGGGAGGGAGGCGAGGTAAGCATTAAGAGACAATGTGTAAACCAGAAGTTCCCAAAGTGCTTCTTGACTTGGTTGTACTCAACGAAAGATTTAGATCTGTGCTATAATTTGGGTAGCATCCCAAAACTAAAATAGCATCTTGTTTTGCTTTTCAGGTGACTTCTCAGGGGTCTGTGATATTAAAGATCAAAGTTGTTTTGTATTGATGAGCCAAAACTTTTTGCATCTGTCTTTTTGGAATATCTGTTAATATTAAAATATCCTTACCATTAAAATGTACTACAGAATACTGCTGGATTGTGCCTGATGCTATTTTAGCCTCTGTAAGTGCTTCCAAATCTCAGTTTTGATGGTGCTAATGATGCTGTTAATGTTGAGATAATGTGTTTAACTCTGATGAATATAGTTTCTTTGTTACAGACTGCATGACCATATACTGGCTTATAAATGAACAGAAGCCTTCTTGATGTTTTGGAGCTGTTTGGTTAAGATTTTGTTAGGTATCTTACCCGATCTTAGCTATTAAGACATTTCTTATCCAGATTTTTCCTCGCAAGCCAGATACACTCGAGTATAAACGATAACATTTTTACTACACAGTTGCTATCAATTTGTACACCAGGCTGTCCTGTGCCTTACACCCGCACGACAGAAACAAGGGAGCAGCTACTGATGTGACTGCTCAGGAGTTGCCCACGGAGGGCAGTACCAGCGCTACAGAAGGTCTGGTGGAATTAAAGGACGGGTTTGTCTGGGCTGCGGACAGCCTGGGCGCCTATTTCTGTCAGACAAATGCAGAGAAGAGCATCTGCTGCCCTTGGGCAGGGGTGCAGACGCGCTGTAGGGAGCTGCCGCCGGGCGTGTAGGGCTAGCGGGCACCTGTTGTAGGCACGGGGGGAGACCAGCGTTGGGAGGGGGACTGGTTGTTCGGAGCTAAGTGAAATACTGCACTGAAAACGAAGCGGCTGTGGTTTCATTAGAGCTACGCCCCAAGTGTGGTGTTTCGGTCCCTCGGCGCTGACCGCGGGGCCTGGCTCCCGCCGCCGGGCGACGGCGACGCGCGGCCCGACCTCCACC